GACAGCATCCTTCGTTCAAACACGGAAGCGTGCTCATCGAAGTGTCTTGCGCAACCAGTAAGCTTACTACAAATTCTGCGAGTAAACCGCTTATTCGGGTGTTTTATAGTTATGCCACCATTACACTATCCTTGCCAAGCAAGGAACAGATTGATAGTAAATACCTGCCTGGAGTATCCAGTTGCTTTCCGCTCCAACGTTTCAGGTGCACAAAAAGCCGCGAATGCCACGAACGAATCAGGAAAAAATTGCGCGGAGATCAGAGGGAAAATAAACCGAGCTCCTCCACTTTTCCCGCGTTGTCCCAACAGGCGCCTTCTTTCCTCCATGTCTCTCACCCATTTGTTGCTCAGTTGTTTGCTCTTATTTTATTTATTTTTTTACCGTTAACGTTTCTGCGTTGGCGCGCCTGGCGCGGCTCTGGCCTGGCGCGGCCTGGCGCGGCGCAACACCTCCTAGAAATAAGGCCGTAGGGCTCTTCTCGTGACGTCGCAAAGGAAGGCCATCGGGGGCGTGCATCGAAGCGAAGGCAACGCGCGTGGATCGACCGTCGTAGTCACATACCCGTATCTTATTAGATAAACCGAAAGCTGCACTTTGCAACGGGTCTAGAAAACATTTTATTACTCGGAAAAAACATCACACCGCTAAATAATCGATGCGAAATGGCACGAGGTATGCCTTGCAAGTGACGTTATGCTAGGGAAGAACGGGGCCCCGCACCATACTGGTGGTTGACTTCACACCGCGCGGATGCGCTTACCAAGATGTTGCGCTGACATGAACCATATTTTCAACGAAGGTACCAGTTATGTTGCATGTGAACTTGGAAAAACGTGCCGAGCTTATGATGATGACGTTTAGCCAGTACATGCAGAATTTTTTCGGCATTGGTGCGATGGCGCTACGAGCAGAAAGTTCCGATATGTCGCCGACGCAGTTTTAAAACATAAAAAACTCGTGTCACAAAAAAAAAAAAAAAAAAAGAGCTGAATTGCGTGCTTCAACATTTGACGAGCGGCTCTAGGAGTCGCTTGTAGAAAAAGTATTACGATTTTGCGAAATATTGCACTCTCAAGAAAAAAGGGTGTAAAAGGGTGTATCGTTACGCCCTTTGTCCCATATATTACACTCCAAAACTTCAATTCGGCGTACAGCACCCTACAGTCGAACAGACGGCGTAAAGTTTACGAGGGGCTTGATAGCCGTGTGGTACAACTTATTAAAATAGCTAATATACGTGTTACTGACTACAAAAAAAATATACGGGGGTTTCTTGGCCCTACTGTAAAAACTCTGTGTTTTCTTTATATGGTGTTTGATACGTATTCTAGCCATTTAAAATGTTAAATCGCAACAATATATAGCCCCTCGTAAAATTTAGGGCCGTCTGTTCGACTATAGGGCGCTGTACGTCGAAATGAAGTTTTGGGGTGTATTATATGGAATAAGGGTGTAACGATACACCCTTTAACATCCTTTTTTCTTGAGAGTGTGGTAAACAACGCAAGACTACCGTCATAATCTAATCCCTGAGACAAGGACAAATCAAATAATAGAGGGTTTATATTATGATGTTTCCTAACCGGCTCGCCTGCATACTTTCGCTCCTTGCTAAGATTACCGTTCTCGCGGATGGAACAAACCGATGCCTCGCGGCGGCGGCGGCGTCTTGGCGAGCTTGCACACGGGACGGGGGCCGCCGCCGACCGATCGCCGTCTGGCCGCGCTCGCTTCGCGACAATCGCCCGTGCTCGGCCCGGGAGCCTCTGCGGTGCGCTCGAAGCGTGGAAACGGCGTTGTGTAACGAAATATAAAGGCCATCTACACCACGAACGGGCAGCAACCGATGCAAAGGCGTGCGCGAACGTAAACAACGGTAGAAAAGTGCCGTCGCTCGCCGTTACGAAATGCGTCCCGCAAACTCGGTAATCCGCGGCTGCCTCCCCTTCCTGCTGCTCGTACTTTCGCTAACGTCACGGCTACTCTGTCTCGCGGGGCTTGCCGACGAAACGATCGGACGATCGTCAGGATAAGCAGTAATTGCTACACCCGAGCGCGGCGCAGTTTACCTTTGCTCTCGCTGCGAAGGGCTGTCGAGTCAACCACCAGCATGGTGGATAGGGCTGTCGAGTGAACCACCAGCATGTTGGATACCGCTGTTCGACGTCATCATGTGACGTAGGTGCAAGGCATGTGATTTATTTAAGCAGAAAATATTGAGTCACAGATTATTGCTGTAGGAATGCATATTTTATACAGAAATATTTCGACAAAATGGCGAGACACGCAGTGATTGGACACTGCAATACAGATCAGTTAAGAATCAGGTACACGTAGCCAACGCGGACCCGGCTCGACAAGTGTCACGATCATGTAAGCGATGTTATCGCGTGCAGTCGCTGAAATAAAATTAATGTAATTTCGATCGAATGACAATATGGGGCCGACAAATCAGCTTGCGATGCTCACATAATCACTCAAGACAGCGAGCTCATTAAATCCCGTATTATTTAATCCAAATATATTAACTTTTCTGTGTGGCAGCCCCTATAAAAATGGCTTCCGCCATTCAATATACATCTGACTGACATTCTATTGCCCCTATCGCCATTCGATTGCTCTCGCTTGAAATTTATGGACACGGTATTACCCCTTTATTGAAGTTTGGCACTGACGTGGTAGGCGCTACAATGGCAATCAAATGGCGAAAGAACCCTTTAGCGTCTTTTTATTGGCAGGTGTCAATACAGAATTCGGGTATCGTCTTTTTATACTCATCCTATTGTCAATCAAGCGCCCCCGGTGGCAGTGCAATACCGGCCAAATTCTGCTGCAAGTAAATCAAACTTTAGGTACAAACCATAGTTATAATATACGCTAGAGGTTCAATTGGCTCTTGTGTTCCGCGGCAAATTGCAGAAAACCATACATGGTAAATTTCTTCCAAAATTTAATTTAATTACAATTACAATCATTTCACTCCAAAAGTAGCTTAACCATAATTACAACTACTACTATGTGAAAAATAATTCATTACAATTACAAATTACATCAAAAAGTAATGCAATTACTTTACAATTACTTATTTCTGGGAGCGACCATTTTCGTCTATATAACTTCAAACAACATGTTAAGGATGCAACGCATTTCTTCATTCCTTGCCCAAATGTTTGAATCGCCGAATATATGTCACGAATTGTACATTTTTTTTCAAATTTTCTGAAATTAATGAGAGAAGTTAACAATTTGGGATAATGAAATCCTACGTTCTTATATTTTCAATAAATAATAATAAATTAGTTTATATACACGAAGACACCAGATCACTAAAATAAAATTGGTTGACACACTTTTGTTAGTCAGGCAAATAAAAATATGACAATTAGCCATATCTGAATATTTTAATAGTGTTAATATATGACTACAATCTACATCCACACGCGCTAATACAACCATATTTACAGACAAACGTTTCATTTTTTCCTAAATTATTTACAGTGAGTTGAAATTACAATGGCTCAAAATTTATAAGACCCGAATACGGGCTCCCGAATCCATCATGACAATATCCACAGGTGCGGAGTCAGCTCAAAAATGCTTATGCAAATAATATCCAAGTAAAACCAACGAAAAATAAACGTGAAAATAATACAAAAAAATGCGACAGTACTTAAAGAGGGGCGCAAAAAAACTGGCAAACAAATAAATAAAAAAAAAATTACTTCATAGACACTTAAAAACCTCAACCTCGGCCGCCTTTTTTTTTTTTTTTTTTCGGACATTTTGTTTTGTTGCGACATTTGGCGATATTTACGACATTTCTTTTTTATGACTAACACTGAAAAAAAATGATGTCGACCACAGTGCTAAAAGCGCGAGCTCGTTGCTTTGGCTCGCGCGCCACGAGCGCTCCAGCATCGGGCGCAGCTAGAGCCACTAAATAAGCTGCGCTTAGAGTATCGGCACTCCGTTCCCCGACATTGTTGTGGACGCCGCCATTTTGGCTCGTATGCAGAACAGACGCAACGGCCGATCGTCATGATTCAAAAGTGCGACTTCCTCAGCACTAGATTCGGTGTTAGGAAGGTCATGTAATATTGCTTTGCTCTGTCGCGAACGGTTTAAACACTTGTGGAGGGCGGAAAAGCATTTCCTGTGATTTCAGATAAAGCTTCAGATAACTGGCAACCATGATTTTAAGACACAATATGGCCAAGTGCCGTTACTCTGAAGCGTAGCTTATTTAGTGGCACTAGGTGCAGCCATGCCAGTCAAGGCTACTCGCTCGCTGCTTGCACGGCCTTCGCAGCTATTCTATGCAAGGGTGATAATCCGTCGTACTGCACACAAGTACAGCTCCAGAAAACTGCGTACGAAATTACTGCGGCTGGGCTCTGTCGCCTCCGGTACACGTAATCTTCATTTGCAACAGGAGTGACGGACGGCACCGGGCGAAGTTTGAAAATGGAGAACGCTTATTTTGATGTTCCTAAGAACGCGACGAGTACAGGCGGCAATGTTGACAACACGCACCAGCGCGGACACCGCCGAGCCGCCAAGCCGAGCACCCGGCCACACACACGCCGAGCGACCGACATTTCACAATGCAGTCAGCGGCATCCAAAGCAAACGTGTTGTTGACGTAAAAATAACTAAGATGTCAAAATAAAAGCTGCTATTTTTACGTCCGTGACGCCATTGTCCATGCCCCCTGGATATCCAATCGGTGTCGAAAATACGCAGCCTCCGATTCCAAACCGAAACTAAAATCCCGTCGTAGTTGTGTTGCTAAGCGAAGTTTCGTATCGCGTATAAAACTTTTATTTTAATACATTTGTTTTAGTTTTTTAAGTTTGATAAAACGTTTTATTGTTTCGGTTCGCCACTGTTTTACGAATAATGTTACGTTAACTTTTTTTATTTTCGCATTTATTATGCACCTTGAAACAAAGTCTTTTACAAGCCAATCCAATCCACCCTGAACTTCATGTGCGTCGAAGCTTCCGAAGCTTTGTTGCGGTTTGGTGTGTCTTTTATTTTTACGTAGAACTCATATCGATCCGATATGCCGCGTCCGAGAATGGATTTTGCGACTAATAAGTGGCGAGGCACCACGCGAGCAAGAATGAACAGCCCTGGAGGTTATGGGCACTGCTCAATTGGCTCATTCCTCGGTGCTTCTCGAAGGTAAGCCTTTTTTCTCTGTCCTCCTAAGCTTCCGTTCAAGCATCTCCTTGGTTTGTTTCCTTGCCCTGCCTTTGCCTAATCGCGCCCGAGAAGTGTATTCTGACAGGTATTTTCCTTAGGCGAGCATCTCTCCTCGCGCTTTTCGTCAAACCGTCCGACGGGTTGCGAGTTCTAATCGCGAAGCCATGATTCGGTCACCCAACACGTCGGTCGACCTGTCAAACGTTTTATCGCACGTGGGTCGTCACTTCGCGTCGGCACGCATCGCTGCCTACCCATATCTGTACTGGCCAGGTTTCTTTGTCGGCCCGCGCGTCTTATCGCTGTGGGTGATCTCAAGCGACGCGAGCGAAACGCGTAAAAAAAGAAAACATTGTGGTTGGAGCCTTTTGATCTACTGCGCTATACTATATATATAGAGAGAGAGTAAAGCTATACGCACTCCGGAGTGCACTTCGGACGGAAATGGCTATACGCGCTCCTCCGAGAGATCATGCCGCTCGGGCCACCCTTTTAGAACGGCGCGTGTATCACTGGGGAGCTCGTTAACACAGCCCCCCGCCTGCGTTCACGCCGCTTCGCGGCGACAGTATCGGCTGCTAATTACAAATCGTAACCAGTACACGCCGCTTCGCGGCGTCCAGCCGGCAATCCAAGCCCCGCTGTCCCCGATCGCACCTCGAAAGGGAGTCCCATACCATTTAGTTTTGCGAAGTTTCTCAACAACATTCGATTTTTTTTTTTTTTTTTTTACTGTTTATCGCAAAAAAAAAAAAAAGAAATGTCCTAAATATCGCCAAATGCCTCGACAAAACAAAATGTTTGAGAGAAAAAAAAAAAAAAAAAAAAAAAAAAAAAAGAAGAAGCAGGCCCACTGCGGATGGAACCCGCGTCCACTTGCGTTTGAAGCGGACACCTTGACCCCTATGCCATGCCTCCGCTTAGAAAATTCGTTGTGACCACTCGTTTTATGCGAGAAAAGCGGAGTGCGTATAGCGATTTCCGTCCGAAGTGCATTCCGGAGTGCGTATAGCTTTACTCATATATATATATATATTTATTTATTTATTTATTTATTTATTTGGACACACAAAATAGACGGGCACTAATTAACTTCACTAACATGCTCACATACTCTCCACTTGTCATGATTTTTGTGTGGGCTTTGCCCGATGATGCTAGTGAGTCATTCTCGTTTCAAGTGGAGTGTCCAAACCATTTTGCACGCATGTTCGGACTCTCGGGATTTGCAGAAACTGGGAGTCTGCAACGCCTGCTGTCCTTGTCTTTTTTTCTCCAGTTCATCTTTTTTCCTTGTGCAACAGCAGACTGTCGCACAAGAGCGACATCTTTTTCATGCGTGGTGTCACCTGAACCGTAGAATGCTCGCTTCATAGTGTGGCCCGTCAGGCTGTGCGCTTTCCGCTGTCTGCTTTCACGAACACAAATACGGCGATGTACCCAGAGTGCACCGCTCGCTAGCCTTGCGTGAGTACACCCTATATTGTATATGTTGTTCAAAGTACAGCTGCTTCGGAAAAAGAGTAGCACAAGTGACCGACGACCGGAGCGGCAAAATCGCGACACGCGGCGCTATTGTTCCCGAGCGCGCCGATAGCGAGAGTGCCAGTCACGTTCTGGGACCGGACATTTCATCGAACGCCGTTCCGTCGAACGCCGTTTCATCGAAGCCGTTTCATCGAACGCCGTTTTATCGAACGCCAGGGTGGCATTCCCGCTTCCTGAAGCTGGTCGGAGGTGCCCATCCCAGGTTCTGGAAGTTTTTGACTTGCGTCGCCACAGAACATCAACTGACGGAAGACAAGCTGGAGGCGATGCTGAGTTCCCAAGAGCCTCCTCGCCAGAAGATGGCCATAGCGGCAAGGAATGAGAAGGTCCGCCTTTTTTATGAGAACCGACGCGGACCATGGCTGTGGGGAACTTTTTGAGAGCAATTGCTCATCATTTGAAACGGTGAATGGCTGTCGCACGAACACATGAGCCCCCGAAAGTTTTCAAATAAAATTTGAAGTGACGTACTTACTTTTGACTTCATTGAGTCGTAAAACGAAAAAAACAAACAAAAAACAATGTTTTATTGTAGTTTCATAAATAGCACCTAGCCCGCAAGCTTCGGGCAGTAAAAAAGCATCAATAGAAAGACATGAGAGGCTAGGAGGCTCGCATGGCTAAAGTTGTTGCACCTGCGCAAAACCTAAGACGCCTTCTGGCCTCCATGAGTTGGAGTGCGCTCTTACTGGGAGTGCGACTTTTTATTTATTTGTTACAATACCCTCAAGGCCCATCGGGTAATACAGAGGGGGTGAACATATAAGCACAATGTGCGAAACAAACATAAAGGTCGGTACAAATATCCTCATGGGTTACTTGCATCAAAATAAATTATAACAGCTACAAGTTTGGACATTAAAAAACCTGACGATGAAATGGGTGAGTGACACGAAAATGCCCTCGATCCGCGCATACAAAAACATCTTTCAAACTTTTTATTTAAAAGACATTCAATGAAACGGCCGTCATTGATTCGCTGAAACGGCGTTCGATGAAACGTCCATTTTTTCGATGAAACGGCGTTCGATGAAACGGCGTTCGATGAAATGTCCGGGAACCGTCACGTTCCATGTCTCAACGCGGGGGTGGCCGGCAGAAAATTGAGAGATAAGATAGCTGTTAAAATTAGGGCTTTAGGATGGGCTGTTTTTTGCCGGCCACTCCCCGCAATGAGACGTGGAACGTGACTGGCACTCTCGCTATCGGCGCGATCGGGAACAATAGCGCCGCGTGTCGCGATTTTGCCGCTCCGGTCGTCGGTCACTTGTGCTACTCTTTTTCCGTTGCAGCTGTACCTTTATTCATAGCTGATCCAACCTGCATTCTCTTTTGCCATTGCCGGTAGCAAATTGTGTCTGTATAGTATTGCACACCTGCCAACTTCCCCGTATTACCCAGAAGTCTCTTAAATTTTGATCAGTTTGTATGATTGACAGAAAAACCTCCCGAAAAGAGAAATTACCCTCCCCCTCTCTTTTGTACTACAGAAGAGTTTTTGCCATCACTGTGGACGGCTGCAATCCCATGAGCATAGGCAGTGCAATATATAAATATAATGAAGTTGTCTTCATGCAAATTTGTTCTCAATATTTCTTTTTAAAACACCCCCCCCCCCCCTCCCCTGCTTAGAAATTATCCCAAATTTGGTGTCCCCAAACTTGGAAGGTATGGTACTGTCTGTGCCTTTTCTATCTTGTGTCATTTATGTAATGTAATATATCTGTTCTTCATTTTCATAATCGCTGCAGGCCTGGTCAAGGAGGAGTTGCTCAGTGAACTACTAGTTTGAGTTCCCTGAACGGACACCACTGACATCACCTAGAGTGCCGAGGTACAGGCTTAATGGCAGATATCGATAGGAGATGATGGTAAGCTGTCCTATTTATTTAGCAGTGTCGGAGTAACTCACTTGAGTTTTCATCACTGTTTTCGCTGGCAGTTTGTTCCCTGCACACAAAAATGGTCCATTAATTGTCCATGTCCATTAAAATTGATGCAGCCTTCACAGTTCTACGGTTTAGAGCGATTCGCGGACATATGTCGATCATAGTCGAAACAGCGTGGCTCATCATTAGAGTTGAATGCTGAGTTTCGCTTGGCAACTTTTTGGCCACTTTGATCACTACAAAACATTATTTGCCTTCTCAGGTACGCGTCACGTCTGTTTGGTTGGACAGCCACCAAGTTGACTTGGATGTCAGCGCCTGTTGTCATCAGAACCTGGTTCTTGTGCTGCCACATCATTTTTGGTGGTGGCGCTGTCGTCACCTCCCAACGCTTGCGCTCCCCGAGTTCCCATTCAAGATGGTGAGTGGTATACTCGTGGGGGCCTCGCTGCTGCAGGTGCTGCCATGTAGCTCTGGCTCGTGGTGGTTCCACCGCCATCATTTGTGCTCCCTGTGATCCCAGCCGGAGTGGTGACAGGGATTATGCAAGGGCTCTTTGTCGCAGGTGCTGCCACGGACTTTGGCTCGTGGGGGTGCCGTCGCTACTGACAAAGCCTGTGCTCCCCGTCGTCCCTGTTGAAATGGTGGCTGGGACTTGGAGAGGGTTCGCTGCCACAGCCGGTCAGTTCAAGTTCCGCACATTCTGCCGTAGCCCTTGGGAATTCGTTCCTTCCATGTTGAGGTTCTAGTAGGAGAAGTCCACCGCTGTTGAGCTACATGTCACCGCAGCAGTCAATCTGCAGAGGGGCATGGCCACGTGACCACACTTCTGAAATGTTAGAGCCTTGTTGTGGACATGGAGGCCGGTGTGAGAGACTTAATATGCGTCTGGCACATCTGCCCGGCGAAAGAACTCATGGGTGTGCCACATGGAAAGTGAGCAGACTGTGCAAGTCTCTTTTACAAAATGGCGCTAACAATAGGTAGTGTCTGAATCATTCTTGTCTTACGTAGGTGATACTTTCTAGGCGTAATGTGTTAGTAGATAGCTATGGTGTTATTGCTTAACTCTGAACAAGATACGAAGTATGAGACATTTTCAGGCCAAGTAAAAAATTTCTGCTCACTTTAATCTTGAAGATCTTCCAGAGTTTCATATCATCCAGCAATCCTGAAGGCGATGCACCACATGTAATTATAATTAATATTCCCGCTCTTAGTTTACCAGGAAGGTGTTCAAAAATTGTAAGTAGTGTTAGTTGCTTAGGAGAGTGATGTGTTGCACCTTGGCGTTCCATTCACTTTGGGATGAGGTGCTTCATTTTTGTGCGTCCTTGGTTGTTTCCTTAGCCCCTAAAGATGTTGGAGATTTATATGTTTTATTTTTGGGGAAACCATGTTATGTTAGTATCTGGCATGCTTTTTTTTTATTGCTGAAAGCTGTTTGAAGTGAGCCTTTTGTCCACCTAAGAGCATAATGATTGGGAGCTTCACTCAGGTGTGTTTTCTGGCCACACCGTAGAGCATGATTGTAAGCATCGATGCATGCTATTGATACCAAGATCGGGACTTCATAGAGGATCAGTCAAGTCTTCCTATTTTTATTTCCATTGATTCTTTGGCATTCTAGATATCTTTTTGTAAGCATGTTCACGTAAGCTTGTTCAACTTTCTGGGTCATAGTATCGGGTCGTTCTGTAATTATCATATGCTTTATGCATTTGTCATTAGTCTCATCTGAAGTTGTCATGGGCACATGGCTGACACATTTGGTGCTGCTTTGATTTGGAGGGTAAATATTGTCCGCCATAGGTCTAGCAAACTTCATAGATTCTACACTTCAAAATTTTCTCGTAGACCTGATTACTAGGCAATAAGCTCCTTTTCAATATGTGCATTTACTTAAATTAAAAAGCCAAAAGGCTTTTAATAATCAGCCACATGCAGAATAAGAACAATGTTTCTGCCACCTAGTGTGGGAGAAAATGGGTGGGGGGGTGGAGGCCAAAGCAAATGCAAGCAGTGTGAATACAACTCTAGGACTTATATGCGGGGTAAGTGAGGAATTTGAACTGCCTACCAAGACCATGTAGCTCACACATTTAGCAGAGGATAATTGGGTTTCATTTAACAAGCTATTGGGGTGGTTGTAAAGCTCCTATACAGCCCCACATGGAGTCACCCTGCATGCACTGATCTAGACTGCTCGTTTCACATAGACTTTTGTGACCTATTGATCTAACTGCTTCTTTTGTTTGCAAATTTTTGTGTTATTCAGGATAATTGGGAACCCAGCAAAAGGTTGGCGTGTCATGGAGTAAACATGCCATTGTACAGTGTGCTTCACTCTAAAATGTAATGCATGAGCAGTGGCCAAAGCTGATGACACTTGTCTAATGAGGAAATCAATGATACTGCACAAACTGAAGCATATCTTCCTGGGACCGTTGCCACTCCCCTATAAAATTATTGCATGACCTCCTCGTTTCTTTTTTTATTGCCCTCAGTTAATTTGACGAGGACTGGACTGCTGTTATCCTTAATAGGTCGGCGTGTCACGTTTATCTTGAGGTCCAATTAACGGGAAATTTGTTTTGATAAGTTAAATAAGGGGAACAACAAAATATTCAGAGCAATGTCTTTTTTTTTCTTTCTATTTTTTTGCATCACCGAAACATTTATTGGTCACCGCATTGAAACTGGGAGTGTAACGCACGAAGAGAACTGCAGTGTGACCCTCCAGTCTCTGCCGTCAGACGATGCACACATTCTGCAACATAAGTGCAGGATCAGCTTTTTTTTTTGGGGGGGGGGGGGTGGGGGGGCGATTTTTCTGAGATGACATGAAAATGTTGTGGTCATCACCATCAAAGTGATTTGTTGGCTGCATGTTCCCTGCTTTAGTGACAAGGCCACTGACAAGCCGCTTCACGGGTACTAAATTGAACCGCTTGACAAGTTGCTCAAACAATAGTGATACACAAATGGCAGTACGAGGACAAGTTGAAGAACCACAAGTAGCGCTTGTCCTATCACTTCTTCAACTTGCCGTTGTCCATAGCACTATTTGTGTTTTGCTCCTCTTCATCTGCTCCATAAAGAGCAAATATATAAGGCTGCTTAATAAAATGACAGCGTCCGTCAAATCGGTAAACATTTCTCTGTAAAACATATTGCCCTGGCCAAGTCCAAGTCTCGTTTTCACGATGAGTCGCATAGTGAATCGGCTAACAATGGTTGATGAATATGATGTAGTTCTACTGAATCAGTAGCATACTTCAATCTCTCTTCTGCACAAAACCTATGTTTCGGAGCGGTTGACATAGTGTTTTCTCGACAGCCGAGGGGCTTGAAGCAGGTGCTTAATGTCTGTGAGCCTCCACCATTGAAATTTTAACTTGGCACTTGCTCTAGAACTTGATAATGGAGCAATGGCAGATTTTATGAAGTTTGCGAAACCGACGTCGGAGACCTTCGAATGGGAAAGGTTTACGGGGCTAGAAAAATAATGGACTCACAATTATCTGTAATAAAAAGACTGTGCCCAAAGAACTGTAGCTAGTTTTAAGTGTCACTCGCCGAAGCTGTTTGTATATTGCGTTAATTCCTGCATTCTGCTGTTTTTTTTCTGTTTCAGGATCCAGTGTTACATTCCTGTGGCTTTTTGGTTGTTTCCCAATTATTGAAGGGAGTTGCAGGCTTATCATGGGCGACACAGTGCTTTGGTGAATGTACCTTTTATTTACTGCTTGGCCAATCAAATCGAGTGGCTTTGCACGAAACTCTCTACAGTTTCAGGATGTTTGAGGGTGTGTTCTCCTTCAGACATTCTGAAATGGCACAAATGTTTTTGTGCTGCATCACTATACTCTGTTGAATGACCAGCTGAAATCGTAGTAGAAGCTACATGCTCGTTGGACCAGTCATATGTCTACCTTTCGCCATGTGTTACACTCCCGCCCATAACCATGTGCAGAAGGCGGGGTCAGGAACGAGAAGAAGGTGGTTGATTGATTCGGTGGGTGCGTAGTTACCACCACAGTCAGCTTAGAGGTGAATGTTAATTACTCAAGCTTTAAATAGGTCACAGTACTCAAAGCTTGAGGAACACCTGAGAAGTTTTTAGTATGTTTTTATTTACCGTGTCTACTCGCTCCATGAGTCTCAAACTACGTCCAACTCGGCTAGCCATCAAGCCAATTTTCTTTCGCCGCCAAGCGGCCAGGCCACTTCAAACCAGGCAAAGCATAGCGGTACATGCTTTCATGGCTGCAAGTGTGTAGTTGCGGATGTGATCAAGAGTGAAACCGAGCGGCGCATACACGTAACAAAGCTGGGGTCGAGGAATTGCCCAGCTTTGGACATGTTTCGCCCACCGAATGCATCGATGTCAACGATGAGTCGCATAGTGAATCACGCGGTCATCTGTAGTGTGCTTTCGGACAGTGAAATCGTGAAAGTGGTTAGGCCTAAGGACGGTCGCGTCACTCACCATGCTGAGTGAGCTTCCCTAATAAAAAAATCTTAAATGTATAAAAAAATTTTATGTCCAACAAACGCGTATGATCCAATAAGATCATATAAGAAAATACAAGAACCTTATAAAAACATATAAGAACAATATAAAATTATATTTGAAGTTATAAGAAACTTCTTTTCAGTTTCTTAAAACTTCTTATATAATCTTATATATTTCCTATATTGTTCTTAAACGTTTTTATAAGGTTTTTATATGATCTTATGTGGTCATATGCTTTTATTGGACACCTAAATTTCTTACATGCAAGATTTTTTTACTATTCACTAGGAGGGCGCTTTTCCTTTGACAGAAGGCACACCGAAAGCACCCTAAAAAAAGGTTTTCAAATTGTAGAACATGGTTACTGTAGCGCGCCCACGACCAGCCGTCAATGCGCCTCCGTCAGTGGAGACATGCCACAGTACTTTGCCGTGTCATACTGCCACCTAAAATTACATTTTCACAAAGTGTGTAAATGCAGAAATTTACCCTGCATAATGAACGCACCCCCGAAATATATGTCAATTTCAGAATAAAGAGGTGTGTTCATTATGCGGGTAAATATGGTAAAAAAGTGAATGATGACTCAAACAAATGCAAAACTCATACATTGGAATTTGAAAAAAATCACCAACCACATCCTACAACAAGGTCCCAACGTTTCAAAAACAGCTTGTTTTTTTCTTCAGGGGTGACTGCTTCCAAATAGGGGACAACAGCTTCGTTTTCTTCTACGATAGTCTCTTTTTTTTCACTTTGTTAGGTGGCTGAGTCCGTTCATGTAGCATGATGGCAATGTGCCAGTGGACCTATTGATGTTTCCTGGTGTTGTTTGGATATGCCATGACTATAAAAAGCTGCTGGCAGAAGTTTGTCTCAACATTTATGGGGGTGTTGGCAAAGTTGATGCGACATTCATTGTCCTCACAGTGCTCTGCAACAGCGCTGCGCTCGTGGTCGAATTTGCAGTTGTTTTTGTGTTGTTGAATTCTTTCTGGGAAGTTCTTTGTTTTTCCAATGTAGGTGGCATGGAATTGAATATACAATGCCCTGCGCTCTTTGTTTAGAGGGATGACCTTTAATTCGCAGCATCATACGTCAAAGTGTTGATACCGGTTTGTGGGACACCTGAATACTTTCTTTTACCAGCATACATGACAGCGCTTCGCTAGTCCCCTTTATGTAGGGAACACAGATGCGGGTGTGGGGACGGATGTTTTTGAGTTTTTAAGCTTTCTCCCGACCAGGCAGGCCTCTGCCAAAATGTTTACCCTCAAAACTTGCACTGCATGTAGTAATGGCTCTTGGTCTGCGAGAATTTTTGTTTTAGTTTTGTGTTTGTTGAGCATTATTGGGCAAATGACAAAGGCTATGCCAGCTCATTATGACTACAGTAAAAAGAGCTATACCCTTGATAACATAGTCCTGTCATGTTTTTGCTTTGGAAAAAATGTTAACACACAAGATTAATTTATTTCTTGACCTCTTGACTGGGGACCCATGACCAAAAAAAAAATTTTTTGTCCCTATTTTGCCTATATCTTTTTGTACGAAACTTTTCTTGTGCTACCATCATAGCTTTAATTTCTAAAGGAAAATTATTTCCGATGTTAGGGGATAGATGGTGCTTCCTCCCGTACGATAAAAAGAGTGAGCGTTTAAAGACGCACTCCCCAAACTGATTGAAGAGTGGTGCATCTATGAGTGCGCCCCCCAGGCTGCTGTTAAAATTGCCAAGCATCCAAAGATCTTATCAAAAGTAATAGATAAATCTTTGTCTAAGGTGAAGTGAATATTTTCATTAAATTCAAGTAATGACGCAATAACAACATGGCAGTGCCCCCAAGCTGCATGCGCATGAACGAATTTCACCATCCAAATGGATGAATGACCGTTTTGGCAGAACTGGACAATGAGGAAAAGGGTACCAATACTTGAGTGTAGCTTTCTAGGGGCTATTATCATTTTAAATTGCAATTCTGATTTGCTCTTTCAGCTCGCACCTTCACGGAGTACAGCAATGTGGGGAAGCAAGTCGAGGACAGCCTCTCTCGATTTCTGTCCCGGGGGCGCTATGCTCTTCCAGGTAAGCTGCTTCCCTCTCTTAAGAGACACGAGTAGACCCTTTCATTCGAGACAAGAATGACGATAATAATCACATCAAATAAAATGGGGAACAAGGGGACAAAGGAGTTTCCTCTTTGACCTTTCTCCCCCTTGTACCCCTTTTCCAGGGATTATTATTGTATTCATACTTACTACATTATTGTGGAGTTGACATTTTGACAACCTGTGGTTGGCTGATGTGTTGTGGAAGTTAAAGCTATTGCACATTCAAACATTGTGTGAAATACAGTAGAACCCTGCTGCTGCATCTTTATGCAGTCACAATAAAGGATCATGACATGAGCGAAGATGTAACAACTGATAATGCCCTTGGGATAGCTATAGATGTTTCAGGAAGCTGTATTCTCTGTTTATCTTACCTTAGCTTTTATGGCTGTAAAAAAGATTGCCTTATTTTATATGTTGACAATTTTTTCAACACTTTTTAAAATTGTGGTTGAACTATAAGTAACACACTGTTTACAGACAAGCTTGTGTTTGCCCACAGCAGCTATGGGCACTGCATAGGCAGGAACTAGATTCGTGTGAGCAGACATGTGTGTACATGTGCTGTGCCGACAGCCGCGCCATCGCAGTGATGCGTTGTCTATAGTTGCAGTTAAAAAAATATTGAAATATAAGGATGCAAAAATTCTGAGCCCATCGAGGTAAACCACAGCTGCCTCAAACAAATCACTGCACCCTGCATGCCACATCAAAGCAGTGGGGCTTGATGCAATCAGCACTGCTTGGACATGGTGGCATGGAGGTGGTAAAGAAAAATGGAGGGTCGTGAGAGCCTGAATCTCTTATTGTCATACAGGACCAAGCAAGAAACACAGTGCAGAGAGGCAAGGAGGTAAAATAAAGGGAGTAAAGCAAAAGGAACAGGGTATGTGTTCCTAGTAGTCATGCCGGCCACCTTGAGTGGCAGTGTTTGGGCATAAGAACCAAGAAGGAAATTCATGAAGCCTGTAATTCTAACACATATATACTTTTGGACGTTCGATAGGACCGGTTTCCGTGAACATAACAGCCGAGAAAACATGTGAGCAAGGTTCTTCTGTGCATATTTTTGAATGTGCTGCAAGAATATTTCTGGTTATATGCCCACTTAATTTATAATGTTTTTCTTCTTTCAGCTGACACCTTACAGACATGTCAGGAAGCAAAGAAAGGTTATTTTTTCACTCATCGTTTACATTTGGGTGATTAACTTAGTCTTGAAAAAAAAACACGTCATTTTTATGACATTGTGATAAATAAATTTTGGGTCTTTAAATTGTCCTTCAATCTTTGTTTTCTTCCCATATTGCAAGCCGGCACTATGTGTATCAGGCATGGAATCAATGGTAGGCCATGTAAACTATTGCAGTTTTTCGGCTGGCCAGCTTAGAGTTTACGAGGGGTTGACAATGGCGAAATGGTCACGAAATTCGATCAAATGACATCTATGTGATAATTATGCCCTTATAAAAATGGTTGATGCCATTTTGTATTATTGCCAAATGGCAACAGGTGTTTAAGAGCAGTCAATCAACAGGCAACAGATGTTAATCGTCATTGAGATGTCATCTTGTTGACCCGGATAGCCATTTCGCCACCGTCAACTTTTTGCCGTTCTATTGGTTATTGTCGGTGCATTGCCAGTGTATCTACATGCTAATGCTAATTGGCTATTGGAGGCAGTCAAAAGACTATAAAATGTATAGTCCTTTGATTGCCTCCTTTAGCCATTTAACGTTAACATGTAAATACACTGATGATACACCGACAATAACCAATAGAACGGCAAAAAGTTGACGGTGGCGAAATGGCTATCCGGGTCAGCAGGGTGACGTCTCAATGACGATTAACATCTGTTGCCTGCTGATTGACTATTTGTAAACAGCTGTTGCCATTTGGCAATAATATGACTTTCAAATGGCATTAACCATTTTCATAGGGGAGGGGTGCTTACTATTTACAGTCAACTAATTTACTCCTCCCTCTACACTCAAGCTGCCTAAGAATAAAATATAACCTAATTTGTATACAAAAATCCTATTACCTTATTCTAGTATAAACGCGGTAAACGCAGCAAAATAACATTAATATAAATAAACACACAAGCACAAATAACGCACTTTCAATAATCACACAAACTTGTTATTTACCTTCCAGTAAAAACTAGAATATTACCACGCATATTTACAAATGTCGACGCAATAGCAAACGGATAACGACGAAGAACAAAATTCCATTCTATCACGAGATTTAAAAAAACAAAAAAGAATATCGACTGCAGCACTTTACTTGCGTCTTACATGACCAAGAAAGCCCGTAAAAAAAGTTGCTCCTCACCTGTCGATCTTATCCACATGTCCCACACGATCAATCACGAAAACATTTCAACACGAACTTCTAGAAGTCTCTCTTTGTCGAGAGAGAGAGGTCATCGGCCAGTGTCATCGTTGACTAGTTGCCACACACGTCACTCAAACCGTAGCAGGACTTGATTCGCGAATCCACGTAAATGCCGTAATATCAAGCAAACACACACAGAGAAAAAAAAAAAAAAAAACTACCCGAGACTGCGGTGACGACAAAAAAAAAACGACGGGTAAGAGGATCAAAAGAGCCACACACGCACACAAACACACGAGAGCAGCACCAGCAGTGTGGGACGAGAGGCTTAACATTCTCGACCCATCTCTTTCTCGTGTACGCTCCCTTCCTGCGGCGATGCCTGGATTTTTTTTTTTTTTTTTTTTTCGGTTCCTTACCTTTTTGAAATGTCTCAGCGTTCCTTTGCAGACAGTCAGCAGCTCACACACAACGTAAATTTACCTGAGTCGGAGCCCGTACGAAGGATGATGTCGGATCGGAAATTCGGAGCCGGTTATATATATATATATATATATATATATATATATATATATATATATATATATATATATATATAAATAATTGTGCAGGACTGCGCTTTTAAAACGTGTATTAATGTCGGATAAACGCGCACGAACATGCACACGAACACGAACGCGCCGCTCGAGAAGAAATATTTGTTTTCACGTCGATATGCGTCCGACAGCTGAAATTTCCTCACGTAGTTGCGCCATGGCCTTCCTTCCTCCGACATTGTGACGTACCCACTCGGAGCGTTACGGCCTTATTTCTAGGAGGTGTTGGCCTGGCCGCCTGGCGCGGCGTCGTATGTTGAAAGGAAGGACAAAGAAAGGAGGGGAAGGGGCGAGAGGACCCCTCTCTGGGTTCCCGCAGCACCCGTGCCTGCTTCAGAAGGTCAAGCGTGGTGAACAATTAGCGATGCACGTCTTTTCCCTCTGTTTTCTTGCTCCGTGAAGTTTTGCGTCCTCTTGCTCCTTTTTGCTCATTTACGGTGCATTTCAGGTAATTCCTTTTCACGGCGTACTCGCTGTTTGTATTACGCGTATACCGTCGTAAATTTGACGGTTATTTTTTACAGTGTACGATACGCATATTTATCAAACTCTATATCGATGAATGATCCTCTCCTTCCGCCTTCAATAGACAAACACAAAGAGGCTCGTTCGGTTAACCCCATAAAATATCCTCTTTTATTTTATTTGTTTTTCACTTTCCTGTCCAGCAGTCAGAAAATTCTAAACGTGAATGCAATAAAAACTCGGTCAGAGTCGGGGTGCAGGCAAACTCGCGTAATGTACAGTTTAGCCCCGGAATCTTAGATCGGAGGGGAGGATCACGGACGCAAAGGTTTCTGCGTGTTATTCTCTCTTCTATTTCCATGCTCCAAAAAGTAAAATGCCAATCTTAAGCTAGGCCGTTCCCAATCCTCATTGTGTTCTGGGCTAGGCATTGGCAAAGTTTATCGTCGTACCGTGCCCCGGGGACAAGATAAATGGAACATAAATATATCGAGACGTTTTTTTCACTGCTCAGAGCACTCGGAATTCAGGCTTGCGGAATTCGGGTGCAACACAATCATATGCTTTCTACTTCATTAAAAATAAAAGGCATAAATGCAGAGGGCACGGTGGGCATCTCTTTCGGGCATCAGTGAAACATTCTCGTCGCCTCAACCGCGCCCGCGAATTTCGAGTTTAAGAAAGAACGTTTGATCTAAAGACCTTACTATACTAAAACACAGATAATTGCCTCAGCAACCAGTTAGTACGTCAAGATGCGTAGGTGTAGACTACGGCGGGCATCGGGGCTCGTGCCCCCCTGGTGACATCCGGGGGGGGGGGGGGGGGGGGGGGGGGGGGAGGGAGGGAGGGAGGGAGGGAGGGAGGGAGGGAGGGGGGGGAGGGGGGTGAGAGGGAGGGAAGGAAGGAAAGGGGGGGCAGAGCGCCACCCCCCGGGCTATGATCCTAACCAAGACGCTGTTTACGTGCCATGTAACGAGCCTCTAGTAGTGGCATGCAAACAGAATAACGCACAGAGCGACGGACACATGCCGATATACATACGCTGTAAGATGTACACCCTCAAATAAATTACTGATAATTGCCGGTGTAAAAAAAAAAATTGCGCGGAAAAACATCCCCCCCCCCCCCCCGAAAACTTTTCAACCTGCCCCCCCCCCCCCTCCCCGGGAAATGGAAAGTCTACGCCGCTGTCAAGATGAGTACATATAGTTTTATAAATTCTATATTTCTAGGCACACAAATAACCGATGCTTACAATTGCAGCAACACAACGCTCTAAAAATGTACAGCCCTAGAAGACGAATTTACGATAACGAAAGAATGACATTGAAGGCAAGCAGACAACACAGGCGTTCGACTTTCCACAAAACGTTTACTGGCTTGGCTTCGCCTAAACGTTTTGTTGAAAGTCGAAAACCTGTGTTGCCTGTTTGTCTTCAGTGTTCTTCTTTCGTTATCGTATATTAGAAACCAACACGCTCGACCATCTACATTAAAGGCTACTCCGGCATTTTAAGGATTTTATTTATGGTCCCCGATTTGCCTGAAAATTTGCTAAACGCATCAGCTATGATAGTTGAAATAGTAACCCAGATATTCGGCCAAAATAACCGTTTTGAGCGAAGTTATATATTTCGCAATTTTGGCCCTCACCGTGTTTTTCAAACTTAAAGTTTCTACTGGCAACAATGAAAAAGTGACGTAAATGGCAGGCAGGCGTTCGCTCTTTGGTCAATGACAATTGTTTCCAACTAATTACAAGCAGATTCATGGTGTCATATGAATGCTTTCGAAGCTCGCTGTGGCACCCGCGCAGCAGCCCATTCTTTAGACTGCGCGCTCAACCTGCAAGCCTGGCTGCCTTGACGTCACGGCACTGAAGAGCGGGGATATGTATGGAAGTTGGTATTGGCGTCATTTTTATTTGGTTCACAATTTCACATTAACTATCTTGAATTTCGCGACATTAAATTGCATAGGGTTAAATCCAGGGATTGAGAAATTACAGTTTGTTGAAGTAGCTAAAAAAAATCACTTTAAGAGTGTAAGTTAACTTACCGCAGCGCTAACGCGGTAATAGTGTCAAAGTAACGCCCTTAGCATTAGCAGCATCCGAGGGATATCTATATGTATACATCCGAGGGATAACAACGACTTTACAAGCAAAAAGCACCACATGTGTGTCCCACATTTAAAGAAACAGCAAATACAGATGCAATGCGGCACTCAAGAAAAATGACGACCCTTTGCTCCACCACGTTATATATGAACAAAAGGTTAAAAAGCGCGAACAAACGAGGACAATAAAGAAACATGGACGACAGGACAGACGCTTCTTCAGAAGCGCCTGTCCTGTCGTCCGTGTTTTTTTATTGTCCGAAGCGCCTGTCCTGTCGTCCCGGTTTCTTTATTGTCAGACGCGCCTGTCCTGTCGTCCGTGTTTTAGGGGCGAAGCTTTAAGGTCTAGCCTTGTCTGTCCGGCGTCCGTGCTCACATCGATCTCGCTGGTGCTCGTGCTCGTGCTCGTGCTCGTGCTCGTGCTCGTGCTCGTGAGCTCACGTGCTCACGTCCTCGCGTAAAGCAAAGAAAAAAATAAAAAAAATGAAGAAAAAAAAAAAGTTTGCGCAGTCGACAGGATTCGAACCTGTGCGGGGAGACCCCAATGGATTTCGAGTCCATCGCCTTAACCACTCGGCCACGACTGCGGGACGAGAAGGGGGCTCTAGGATGTGGTAGTAACTCAAGAGCTGAGGATGTCATGGATGACACGTTGCATGTAGCCGCTCAACATGTATACAGGAGAGAGCGCTGCGGTCAAATGCGTATATAATCGCGTTAAACTCTGCATGCATTAGCTCAACGTTTATAGACGAGAGGGCGCTGCGGTCAAATGCTCAAATACGTATATAACCACGTTCCATACCACACATTCTCTTTCTGACATGGATGAAAACGAACGAAAGGCTCGGCATGCTGCGGCTCACTGTCTACGCAGACAAGCACCACCAGAGCTTCGCCCCAATGAACATCATTCACCACGTGGAGAGATGCGCTCAATTTCTTTATTGTCCTCGTTTGTTCGCGCTTTTTAACCTTTTATTCAGTAATGGACCAACTAGCCCAAACCTAAGTTTTAATGCAACGTTATATATGCTCGTGAAATACAAAGACACCCATTCGCAGGCGACTGTCTTAGCAATTATGAAAGTTTCATGTATGATGCTCTGCTCTTGACAATATTTCGTGTAAAACAAAATATATTCAAGTCAAAGGAAAGTATTAACAAGTAAAATTCATCGGCAGGTAATACTTATCCGATATAGTTGCTAAAACAACCTCCGCTTAATGTGTTTGAAGCAGGTGCCAGTGCGGCGATTGCTCTTCAAAAATTGAAACTCTTCTCCTCGCTTCACCTTATGCGAAGGGTCCTATCCCCACCCCTTATCACCACCTCAAAAATATGAAGGGTGTTCCATATCACAGCACCTTATCTTATGTTTATAAATTATGTATTACTAAGAATAAAAGTACGAAAAGGGTGTATACAGGAGTGTAATTTTTGTTCTCACATTTTTACACCCTTAGAAAACACTCAAATGAAGTGAAAAAAAAAAAAAAAAACTTTTAAATTATTTTGTTGGTACACGTATGTAAAAAAAAAATTCATGAACAAAAAAAGAAAGATTCACTCTCTGATACGAAATTTAGGTAGAAATCACGGCCCTCTCTAAGTAATGCCCATTGCTTACAGTATAAGCGCCTACACAGCTCTTATTGATTGAAGATCGATTGACGCCTGGTATGTTGGTTTTAAAATTATTTTTCAGCATCGTAAAACAATTTTTTGTTCGACATATATTTATGTTTGAGAAAAAATGATCTTGATAGAGTCATTGGTTTCAAACGTACCACGAAACCGTTACTTCTGCTTTGATGTCAAACGATAACAAACATGGCTGCCGGCGATTGCACCGAGCAGTCGCATTGGGTTTTGCTGAATCATTGGACCACTGGGGCAACTTTAATTAGTGGCAAATCTTACCGCGGTCTATGGAAGAATATGTGAAAAAGCGCTGACTCAAGACGTTCTAGGAAATATGGATCGGTCGGATCCCACATAAATAAATGTTTGCTGGATACCTCACTATCAAGCGTCGGCAGTAAAGTGTATCTTTCAACACCGTCGTACCAGGTGTTATAGAAATTCGAATCCCTATTCACCAACTCAACTCTCTGACGTCACGCAACTGCGGTGGCGCTGCTGTAGGCACTGCGCATGCGCAGATGCTTCTCCTCACGCGATTCTCGTTTCTGCGCACGCGCAATGGCCACAGAGCAAGAGCAGGCTTGTTTGTAAACAATGTTGTTGGTGCACATCGCTCAAGCGTGCAGTCTTGACTGAAAAACAACGCACTTCGTCATTCTTTCATGCGGAGCGCAGGCTCGTCTCCTTCTTTTGCAGGGGCTCTGGTGGCGTCAGAACGCCGAGCTCTGATGGACTCTGATTGAAGGATAGTGGGTAGACTTCAAGGCAGCTTGCTTTGAGGTCTACCCACTATCCTTTGATCAGAGCCAATCAGAGCTAATCAGAGCTTGGCGTTCTGGCGCCACCGTGACCCCTGCAAAAGAAGACGCCATTTTCGTACGTCGTCAGAGGATCACATGACCACGTACGTGCCCTCCCCCTATCCTCCTGTTTTATTTCTACCGCGTTCTCCTTTCGCACCATGATCGGAAATACGCCAAAAGAAAAAAACTGAGTACAAAAAAGAAAGGCACACAGGACAGGGCGGATACGCCCTGTCCTGTGTGCCTCTCTTCTCTGTCCTCGTTTTTATTTTTTATATTTTTTTGCGTATTAGAACCAATTAGCCCAGCTCGCAGTTTATTTTAATGACCGTCCTTTGGCTAGTCGTGGAAAAATGACGGCGACCACAGGGACACTTTTGTCGCGCAAATCGCAGAGACTCTTCGCGTTTTTTTTTTTTTTTTTTTCTTCTTTGAAATAGATTTTTGCGCGTAATTACGTAACCTTAGCCACTAGTGTTCCCTCCTAACACAAGGGCAAGTCTAAAATATAAATACATTATTATTTCAGGTACTTTGGTCATTATACTCTGGACGTCATTGCCAAGTGTGCTTTTGGAACGAAGCTTGACTCGCACTCAAACCAGACCAACGAATTTGTCACAAGAGCGAGCCAGGCATTCCAAATGAGCGTTAACCTTCCGTTACTACTTATGTGTGAGTATACAAAGACATTTCACACCTTGGTGCGGAACTAATTTCCTCTCGTTACTTTTCAGTTTATATTTTCGGAATGTTTCCTTTCTTGATGAAGCTCATCAAAATAAAACTGTTCAGCTCGGAGAGATTTTCGTACTTCAAGGATGTGTGTGCAAACATGATGAAATCAAGACGCGAATCTGGTGTTGTAAGTATATTTCCATGCACTCTCGGCTTTTAACATATCCACCGATGCAGAGTGCAAGTTCGTCTGCTTCTTTTGCAGCAGGTTGTGGTGACGTCAGAACGCCGAGCTCTGCTTGTCTCTGATTAAGGATAACAGGTGTACGTCAAGGCAGCTTGCTTTGAGGTCTACCCATTATCCTTCAATCGTAGCCAATCAGAGCTTGGTGTTCAGACGTCACCGCAACCCCTGCAAAAGATTCAGACGAACTTGCGACAGTCACTGGAAGCTTCAGAAAAAAAAAAAAACCGCATCTCCACGTGGTGAATGATTTTGATTGGGGCGAAGCTCTGGTGGTGCTTGTCTGCGTAGACGCTGAGCCGCAGCATGCCGAACCTTTTGTCCGTTTTCATCCATGTCACGCTGCGGTCAAATGCTCAAATGCGTATATAACCACGTTCCATACCACACATTCTTTCTGACATGGATGACAACGAACGAAAGGCTCGGCATACTGTGGCTCACCGTCTACGCAGACAAGCACCACCAGAGCTTCGCCTCAATCAACATTATTCACCACGTAAAGATGCGGTTTTTTTTTGTTTTTTTTTTTTGTTTTTTTTTTTTTGTCCTACACGAGCACGGGAGCACGTTGTTTACGTCACTTTACACCAAATGTTTCGGGCGTTCCTTTTCTTCTTTTTTTTATTTTTTCTCTTTTTTTATCGTTTTAGGTGCATCACGATTTTCTTCAGCTTATGATGGATGCCCAAAAGAGTGCACTTTCGGATGCCAGTGACCCCGGAGATGCTGAAAATGATGTGTACAGTTTGGGCGTGGATGAGAAATCCAACGTAGCAACACAAAGAAAAAGTATGTATGAACTTGAGTGAAACTGTCCGTAAAGACGACGATTCGTGTGGCTCCATACTTTCGCGTGATACTTATATACGTATCAAATGTGTGTCTTCTTAAGAATCAAATATGAATGTCTTTGCAATTGTCATTGCACCTCATGAGTGTCAATGTACTACTTGCAGCTCTCACTGAAATGGAGGCGATGGCACAATGTGTCATATTCTTACTCGCTGGCCAAGACACCACCTCCTGGGTGATTGCGTATACAGTCTACCTTCTGGCATTGCATCCGGATGTGCAAGAGAAGCTGAGACGCGAAGTTGATGAGTGCTTCGAACAATACGTGAGGCTCCCGCTAGTCTTCTCAAGTTAAACGTTGCGCTTAACAAATGCTTGTTTGGCGAAGTGTTGACAGTTGCTGATTTGACTCGAATTTCGTTCAATACATTAAGAGACAGAACTATTAACCCAAATTAAAAGTCACAATATCTTTTTACGAAGTTATTAGTTTCAGATTTGGTCTAATACGCTGAGAGGCTCTACTAGCAACACTTAAAATGTGACGTCAGCCTGGAAGCCGGAGAATCCAATCCAATCCAATGTTGTAGAAAGGTACAATAGAGGCTGTACATTTTGTTTCCAACGGGTTAGAAGAAGTTTGACGGTGCAAAATGTATGCTGGTTAAGCTCACACCAGTAAAACAAACAAACAAAAAACATGTGCAAAGTATTGTGTTTTTTTTTGTTGTTTTTTTTGTTTTTTGTTGTCTGCTTAACTTGCAGGTAATACATGTACGGGACCCCAATGGCGAGCGCGGGAAATTTTCGAAGTTTTTTTGGCATCACCTCCATTTGCGGTTTTCTCAATAGCTATTTTGAACTTAGAAATAATACCATGCCGGAAAGCGCAAGGCCTTGGTACTCCGAAGGTATGCTTAATCTGAATAACTTGAGACACCCACCAAAGGCTCCCCTTCAACTTTCTCGGTGAGCGTGCCAGTATTACGTGCATTACTTTATTTATCGCACTGTGTGGCTTTGTTTTTCAGGGTCCAGAGCCAACTCTCGACGTTGTGTCGAAACTAGACTATCTCAACTGCGTCATCTCAGAAAGCTTGAGGCTGTATCCACCCGCGGTTCGGTATGTTTGCTGCTAGCGCTCTCGTTTTTGGTCCTTTTGCTTTCTAGAATAACTACATTCTAACGCTTTATATGCTTAATTTTTTTTATATATTTCTATATAAAAGTATGCTCCTATATTCAGCCTGGAAAGATCGCCTGTTGAAGATTACGTCATGACGGACACGGGAATCAAATTGCCGAAGAACTGCGTGATCGTCATTCCCATTTATGCGATGCACTACGACCCCAGCAACTTCGAAGATCCCTACAAATTCGATCCAGAAAGGTATCCCACTACCTGCTCTCATTTCACTTCGGAAAACCATATGTTTAGGCTTCAGACCGATAGAGAAAGGATATAGAGTATTCATCATTGAGCGGTGTAATTAACGGCCCAGGGCTGTTGCCCATATCTGGTATAACCAGTATTTTTGGAATGCACACTTATATACAGGATTTTTTTTTTTTTTTTTTTTTTGCTGCTAAGAAGAAATAGTTTTACGAAAAGCACCCTGGAAATTCAGAAATTATTCCTTTGGGATAACGCTACCGTCCGCGGCGGACGTCAGAGAAAGTGTAAAGTCGATTAGCAAATTAACTACCTCAAACCTACTATTTAACTTTTTTTAAATTATGATCTTAGTTGGCACATTTCAGTTAGATATATGTTGCTCGTGGGAAACGGAACGAATGGTCCTGGAATAAATGGTCCCTAAATAAATGGTCCCGGAACTAATCGTCCTGCAACTAATCGTCCCAAGTACGAACTCGGAAAAAATGGTCCCGGATAAATATCGCCAGTGTGGCTTCTGCGTTTTCGGATAAATCCGATGACATCCAATAACACTCGTCGAACTTCGAGGCTGCCGGTTGTACGAACTCGACCGGTTTTTATAATTTTCTGGAAAGCTCAGAAATGTTTTGCGCTATGGAAACCTAATGCACCTATAAAGGCATCGACCTCCGGTCGTTATGTGTGCGACCACCACGCGTCATGACGAGATGGGAGTAACTCGAGTTTCATGGCTTGAACAGTATAACTAGGGGGGGAGGCACTCACTTCTTCGAATAACGTTTTAGCGGATGTCGGTGTTCACTAAAACGTCATTCGCTCATGTGATATGGACTAGGGGTACTCATTTTTTGTTTCAAGAGAGCCTACTGACATTATATTCTAAAGCGTCCTATATGAAAATAGTAATAACTCCTATAATATCGTATAAGGTCACTAAATTAACAGTTAGGAGATAACAGTTGGGACACTTCATTTAATATTCTAACGATTTTGAATAAAACTAAGTTCAAGACCCCACCACTTTCTTAGAAGTAACCGTCCTTAAAATATAGACGAGATCCTTTATTCCCTTAGGAAATCACTGACTGCATAACGGGTGAAGTATATTGCATGATATACGGTATCTTAGTTTCAAAACAATCTTCTTACGGGGCCATTTTTTCCTACCTTGGACTTGAGACCTTTAGTTCTGGGACCATTTGTTCCGGGACCATTAGTGTTCCGGGACCATTAGTTTCGGGACCATTAGTTCCGGGACCAATTGATCCTACACCCGTTCCCCCTCACCAAAATATAGCAAATGCAGTTGCTAGAACTCAGAGAAGATTCTGCTCTGCTATTGCTATATACTATAGCTCAGTATTGAACACTAGAAGATATACGAGCAAAATATGAGCAAGCGTTAATCCTGGACTTGGACTACTCCTTCGCGACCTAATTTTTGTTTCACAACTGGAGGGCCCATTTTATGCGGGCTTTCAGGCCTTCTTGCAGTATCTCAAACTGTCCTTGTGATAGTGAGTGTGTCACACTTTTTATATACGTACACGGCAACTCCCCGGGTGCAGCCAATTTGGTTCCGGTGGTGCCAAAGTCCCGTCTTGCTGCACGCAAGGGGGTAAATATAAGCATAATGATGCTGCAGCAATACATGCGTCTCTTGATTCCGAAGCGGACAGCCCAAAGAAAAGTATCGCACGCAATATAAACGCGTGTTATATGCACGGGTATGCCTCGCAAACACGCAAGTATTTCAGCCTACAAAACAAAGAAAAACAAACATTGCACGCGTCGATACTTGCCATGCTCAATACTGCATTTCACGCAGCGTATCACTTATTGCGCTCTCTGTAACGCACCCACGAGTTATGAGGAAAACAACACGAACAATTTATTTGCCCAATTTTCAGTAGGACTTCCGACTTATACGTATTGCAGTTGTTTCGGTACTTTCAATACCTCCAAATAAAATCAAACCTCACGTAAGCAACCGTGTCATAAACAGAACAAAGCTTCATGAGAACTCGGATCGTGACATCGCTATCGTCTATCTGAACCGAGCATCTTGTTTGTCCATAGCTGGGGGTGCATCCTCCAAGACGCACCGGTCCTACGCCAACACACATTGCTTTTCTTTTTTTCTTGCTTCTATGTGGTGTTTGCTCTAAAGGCCGACCAACAAACGGAAAGGAGGGAACTCTCCTCAATTCCTCCTTTTCATTCGAGAAAGGAGGATACCTTCCTCCTTTCTGTGGAGAGTAGCTCGGAGCACCGCTCCTGTGGGGAGAGGGGGAGAGAAGAGAGCGAGAGCAAATGGAGAGAAGGAAATAGGGAACCGATTTTCTGCCCGGCAGAAGACAATTCTGTAGGTCGGCCTTTAAAGGATTCTCGTGTGTTCCACCCAAAAATTTCTCATTTCCTTCGAAACTTACGCACTAGAATACTGTAAAATAAGAGAGACGACGCTCTATTATAGAAAGATCGTCAGAGTCTCATTTATCATCTCTTGGTGAACTGGTGAAGAGGACAGTAACAAAATAATTGAGTTGTGCACATTATTCCACGGTGTTCTTTTCTATTTTGTTTAATATTGATAAATTTGATGGGTCTGGCTCTGTATACAAGCACTGTGTTTCCTTCGTGGGTCAGGAACTTTGAACGTATATTCTTGTCTAAAATAAAAAGTTTACAATGGTCTGTACTTCGGCTAATACAATCAGGGTAAATTAAGGCGAAAGAGAGAGAGAGAGAAAGTGAAGGATTGCCTCAAGCTACAAAACAGCGTCCACTTCCCAAAATCTTGAAGATGTTTCTTGTTATATCAGTCATATTTGAAGATATGAGGCAGGGTGTAACTGATTCATTATTCTTTTTGCCGCTTTAACAAAATTGCCTGTTAAAACTGCTTTTTTTTAATAAATATTTTTATTTTTTTTTTTTTTTTTTCGGCGGTAGTTGGTAGGGTTTTGTTCGAGTGGAACTCTGCTCTTCGTACGCGAAAACCTAAGTTATCGCGGGAAAAGAGCGACAGCGTTGCCGCGCGCTCGGGGCGATGGCGATGGAGAGGGAGTGATAGCGGTGTCCATTTACTCTCCCTCTTTTTCTCCCCCCCCCCCTACTTTTTTTTTTTTTATCGTCATTCTATATGAGCGTTTTCAACATAAAATCGGCGGTCACGGGAAATTTCTTAACCTGTGTTTTTTTGTCTGTTTTTTTCCCTTCAAACTTGAGTTTAGGTTTAGCGAAGAAAACCGAGGATGCATTCGACCGTACTCATACCTGCCTTTTGGAGCCGGTCCCAGGAACTGTGTCGGCATGAGGTTCGCCCTGCAGACGATCAAGCTTTGTCTCCTACACGCCATCCACAGCGTGCAGTTCGTTCGCACACCCAGAACCAAAGTAAGCCGCCTGAAATTTAGTTCGTGTTATTGCAGTCACTTGACAGGTTGCGAGATCGTTACCATATAGTGTGTTGCAGGTTTTGAGTAGCAAAACAAGCTCCGCCCACAAAGACCTCCTCTTTTTTTCCAATTTAGTAAAGGGAACGCTGAAGAGAATGCTGGTGGAGAGGAGGGAACTGCCAATATTGGAGAGCAAAAAAGCTTTGTTGGAGGGTCTTGTCCTGCTATTCTAAACCAGCCACAGGCTGAGCCTTCCAAAAAAAGTAAATCATTTCAAGCTATAGCAACGAATTACCCTCGGATGAAAAAGTGCATTGCGTACAAAGGTTTCCCTAATAATTTTCAGTTTGGGGATTGTAGTCATAACTCTTGATTATAGGTTAATGTAGACCTGTGGTTACCATTATCGTATAGCGGGGTTCCGTAGTTTCGGACAAACCCGGGAAATTCCGAAAAACGTACCCGCCGGTGAACATTTTTGTCAATTCAACCATATCACACACACACGCACGCGCGCGCGCACACACACACACACACACACACACACACACACACACACACACACACACACACACACACACACACACACACACACACACATGCACACACACACACACAAAAAGAAGAAAAAAAAACAAAAGAAACTTTACATTTTTCCTTAGGCCTCAGCGGTAGTCCTAATTAGAGGTCATATAATCTCATTTCTCCTCCGAGGAAAACTGGTCAGTGTCACTTTATTTCTGGGTCACGATGGGAGGCCATCTCTCCTTGCCTCTGAGGAGGACGTGATGTTTTTATGTTATCAGAAGCAGTGATCCCGTGAATTTCCTAGTAAATAAAAATGCTCACGATGAATTTTACATTCTTATTTTTTGAATTAGAAAATGGAATGCTGATAAATTCCAATTATCACAAAACTGGGAACGTAATCTGGTCTAAATTTCGAGAAGCGCCGATTGGATAATTAATATAAAAAACTCCAGTCACATTTCACACATACACACGCAAAATAAAAACAAAAAAAAAAAAAACAGATGGGAACAGGCACGAAATCTTTCACCGTCAGTTGTCAACGCGAGAATTCCCTTTAATAAGGTCTGCTCGCATATATAACACGAACAATCGCGTTTCAGTGCGCTACAGTTTGTGTTCAAAGCGTGCCTGCTGCCGGCTGTGTAGGCCCTAAAACGTAATATGATTGAATAAAAAATATATGATTTCATACGTGTACAAACGATGTATTTGTCGATATGATCATTTCTGAATATGACCGCCGCTTCAACGACACTGCCTCTTGATTAAATTGAGTACTTCCTAGCCCTAACTGTATATTCGGCAAAACATTAATCGTGGCTTACTAAATATTAGTAATAAAAAATCAAAATATCTAAATTAGTAATGCTGTTTTTTGTTGTTGTTGTTGTTTTGTTTTGTTTTTTCTCTCCCCCCCCCCCCCTCCCTGTAATTGACGACTCATATGAGCCCACCTTTGCAGACCTTCGCTTTAACTACGGTTTGTCCATAGATGTAAAGCCCCTCTATCCTGGGAAAAGTGGCGCCATTCATTGTTGTGAAGCATGAAGGTTCTCTACATAGATGTGATAGTCAGCGACAATTTAAAGCGTTGCTGAATGATAAGTGACGCACGACCTTTCCACGGGCCAGCAGCCGCCGGTGTGAGCGAGCACACGCAACGAAATTGACGTCATAGTGCCCCATTCGCTCATTGAAATGTGTGGGCTCTAAGGAAAAGGAGAATGATGACAAGCTTTTTATCTCCAAAGTGGACTCTGGTGATAAAACATAGGCGATCAATTGATCTAACTAGCGCGTAGCTTTTACTTTGTGGAGATGAAAAGCTTGTCTTTTTTCTCCTTTTCCCGTAAGCCCACACATTTCACTGTCATCTTAAGCGTAAATGGGGCACTATGACGTCGATTTCGTTGCGTGTGCTCGCGCCAACGTTACTATAACACTCAGTTGGGAAACTCCCATAGAGACAGCTTGGAAAAAGTGGCCCCAATCTGTCTCCGAGCACCGAGCTAATGACGAACACAACGACACCATTCCTCCCGCAGCGGCCACTCGAGGAACTGCACGTGAGTTCTATTTTGGCTTTTAGAACAGATACAGCGGAAGAGGTGACAGGGGTGCCACCCCTTTAGCCCCGGCGGACGCGCCGCGTCGAAATACTGAAGTTAAAATGCACCTAGGTCTGGACGCGCTACCCTAAAGGACCGCTAAGGCATGGCTGTATAAAAACAATAGTAATCGTTCCGCAAAACCTTGCGAACTAAAGATGATAAAAACATCAAGCGCCCATTATTTGGTTCTAAACTCCAATAAATTTCATACAAAAAGAGTCTTTTCCGTTTGTTTTTACGCAAAAACATGCTTTCAAAAAGCTCAAGGTGACCACAGTACAAACAAGTGACAAAGAGTGGCGCTGTTGTCGCATTTAGCTCGGTCTCGGTGGACGCCAACGGCCCAGGTTTCGACGGCGAGTTTCCCAACTGAGTGTTTTAGTAACGTTGGCTCGCGCACACCGGCGGCTGCTGGCCCTTCGAAAGAGCGTGCGCCACTTATTATAGACACTGAAATGCTTGGTTCAGTATCCTTTTAAAAAACTCGAGATGTGGTGTGTCCTGAGCGTCGGCACCGCAGCCAATGAGACTGCTGCATCAGCCCCTGAGACTGCTGCATCAGCCAATGAGACTGCTGCATCAGCCAATGAGACTGCTGCATCAGCCAATGAGACTGCTGCATCAGCCAATGAGACTGCTGCATCAGCCAATGAGACTGCTGCATCAGCCAATGAGACTACTGCATCAGCCAATGAGACTGCTGCATCAGCCAATGAGACTGCTGCATCAGCCAATGAGACTGCTGCATCAGCCAATGAGACTGCTGCATCAGCCAATGAGACTGCTGCATCAGCCAATGAGACTACTGCATCAGCCAATGAGACTGCTGCATCAGCCAATAAGAACGCCGAAGAACGGACTGCGAAGCAAGAAGAGTGATCATGATAGGCCGCTCTCTTGACGAATTGTGGTGCATGGTGTCTCGAAGTTAGTTTAATCTGATCCATTCTTTGTCGGTCCGCTAAACGTGTCCATCGTTTGGATGTAAGGAACTTGACGAACCTTAGGGATGCTATGCTTAAAATTCCCAAACATTTTATGTTCCTGATTTTTTTGTTCCAGGTTCCGCTGGAATTCTCGAGAAATCTTGGTCTGCTCACGGCCAAGGAAATCATCGTCGGCGTAAAACCACGCTGATATTCCCAGCAGCGTTCTGATTAGTATCAGCCGAAACTCGCAGAATTGCATATACGCAGTTTTATTGACACACAACTTCAGCGAGTTTCTGAGCGTTCTAATGCAAAGTGTGATAAATCCCGTATATTAGTGGGTCATCGGAGAGAAGTTCAACCGACCGTGAGAGTAGCTGTATATGGATGTTCCTTTTTGGAAGTGCGAAATAAAGGTTATATAAAACAAACTGTTTCTTTTATTTTTTAGTTTTTCCCATTTTTCCGTGACTAGATTCTCTTCCGGCGGATCGCCCAACGTCCACCTCGCCTCCTCCTCTCCCTCAGAAGCTGAGGGAGAGGAGGAAAAGAGAGCGCGTGGCAACGGCAGAACGACGAGCTCTGGTTCGAAATAATATAGTGGGTATCCCTTACAAAAACAAACCTCACCAGTTTTTTTTTTTTTTTACTTCTTATTGATTTTCCGGGATCCTAATGAATTTCTTTAAAAACACACTTTTTTTTATTATTGTAAAAAAATTTTCAAAATAAAAGATTATTTGTAAGTGTATCTATAAAAAAATAAAAAGAAATTATAATAACGTTTTTTGTAGGTTATTTTCTAAAAAAAAATTATAAAAAAACAACTAATAGTGTTTTTGTTTAAATGATTTTATAAAAAATTAAGCAAAATTATTTACTTTATTTTTTATATTTTATAAAAACAAAAAAAATGAAGTTTTTTTTATTATTTTAATACAATATTGAGGACATCTTTTTTATAATTTGAAAGAAAGCTTTGAACAGTAACAGCTCACTTTTCTTTTTAATATTAAAAGGGAGAAGACACTTTCTACAGATTTTTCACTATTGACATGTTTGTAAGAGTTCTAAAAATGATCGTAAGTTGCTTTGCACTTCTTGTTCTTTTGATATAGGATTCTTTTTTTAAATCAGAAGACAAAGGCAATTTAAGAATGAGCTTTTTTTCCATTCCCTTTTCTATTTCTATTTAATAAAACATTCTGATAACACAACACTCCTAATTAACATACGTTGAAAAATGGCTTCAACTCGACATCTGTCCATAGGGAAATTCTCATTTTTTTGCGGCAGCGTATAGCGTTACGTCGGCCGTAACACAAATAAAATTAAAGTTACGTTCCACGTAACATAAAGGTTCACTGTGCCTGGCGTTACGTCCGGACGGACAGCTGAAACGCGTTAACCTAACCCCCCTCTCTTTCTCGCCTGTAAACACTAAAAAGCCATAAAAATTCATCTAGGTTTTTTTGGTTTTTTAATACTTGATTTATTGCAAAGCTTTTGGTGACAATTTTTAGACAAAATGACAAATCCTCGATGCTTCTCTCCTGAAATTGATGGCTCTATTCGAATCCGCCTGATCGCTTGAAGTGCCCTACCGTGACTGCGGGTGGAGTCAATAGGGAGTTGTCGTAGATCGCTTCCGCTGTCCCGCAACGGCTCTCCGCAACCCGCTACGATACCCGCAACTCTACAGTCAAGGCCATCGCCGCGCAGGCGCGGTAGCGGCTTCTTCGTTGCAGAGGGCTTAGCGGAGGGGCAAACGCGGTCTACGAAAACTCCCTATTAGCGAGTTTTCGTAGACCGCGTTTCCCCATCCGCTAAGCCTTCCGCAACGAACAAGCCGCTACTGCGCCTGCGCGGCGATGGCCTTGACTGTAGAGTTGCGGGTATCGTAGCGGGTTGCGGAGAGCCGTTTGCGGGGCGGCGAAAACGATCTACGAAAACTCCCTAACACCACCTAGAAAGCCTGCGAAGTCTCACAACGAACGCAACGCTATGCGGAGAGCAAGTCGTCTGCTTCTTGGATCTGTGGTGACGTCAGAACGATGCCGAGCTGTGATTGGCTTTGATTGAGAGGATAGTGGGTATACACCAATGCCAAATGCCTTAAGGTCTACGCGCTATATTTTTTTTTTCAATTATCCATAAAGTATGATGTAAAAATTAAATAGCGCAAAGGTTACACAAAGGACAAAGGACAGAACATGTAGACAGGACAAGCGCTAACTCACAACTCCCTACATGTTCTGTCCTTTGTCCTTTGTGTAACCTTTGCGCTATTTAATTTTTACATCATGCATATCCAACTAGCCCACCTCAATATCTTAGTACAATTTCTATCCATAAAGAGTTTTGCGTTTTGACATCATCGCAACCCCTGTGCAAGAAGCAGACGAACTTGCACTTCGCATAGCTCGTGGAGAAGCCAAGATGGACGCGTGTGTCGCTTTCTCGTCGTGCTTAGGCTTGTTTGCTTCTTGGGGCGGGTCGGGGAGCCACTAACGACGACGTCGAGCGCAGGCCTTTGCTTCCTACAGGTGGTAGTGGAGTCGTCCGCCTGCCCCATTTCTGTTCGGTGATGTTCACGCGTTCTAGAGACGAATCTGGGCGCCACGACAGAGAGCACAGTGTCGAAGCATGGCACAGCGACAAAACGGTACGTTCCCAGAACACCACAGCGTCAAAACAGCAAAGCAAGCAGAGAGTACGCCCTTAGGTCAACAGAACGGCAAAACCGCTCATGCGCTTCCATTTTATCGAACGCCGTTTTATCAACCATAAAAAAAACTTACAACTGTATTTTTGTCTTTTTTTTTTTTTTTTTTTTTAGCCGCAGAAAAGAATTCGTTGTTGAACGCCTAGCTTCAACCCAAATGTACCGCTATGCGGTTCCGACCAGACGCCAAATTTGCTCAGTTAAAACGTTATCTTACTCAAAAGTCGTAAGTGATTTTCTGAAACGTTTAGTAGGAAAATGGGGTCCGTCCTTAGTAGTTTGAGCCATCGAACCCCATATATTCGTAAGCATTGTCGGCCACCATTTTGCCATTTAAAATTTTTGAAACTCGCTCATAACTTTTTGCATTAAGATGGTGCACATCATATCATCAAACAAAAAAAAAAAAAAAAAAAACGCGAATTCTGTTTTTGTCACGGTACGGATATGAGACCTTTCGTTCCTCCTCAGGGGTGGTCACGAGAGGCTGACATCTTTGGGCTGTACGACACGAGAGCGCCGACGGGAGAGCGCGACACAGGGGAGAGCCGCGACACGTACTTCCTTCTTTTTTCTTGCTGCTTAAAATCGGGACTCGCCGGAAGAGCACGTAGAAAAATAAATGCCCGTTGGTCGTCGCGACCAAGTAACTGTGCTTCGTTGACGGTCATGTTGATTTGATCGTAGAAAGACTGCTCCGAAGCTGTTGTCATACGTACATTTTTGGCGTAACATCGTTTCGTGAATCTGTCCTCGGTTCTTTAGCGCATGGCACTGCAACAATAACACGCCGCAACCGCCGCCTCCCCCCGCCCCAACACTGGACACAACAACAACCCGCAAAACGTTAAAAAAATAATAAAAAAATAGTTTTGCTTATGATTATAATGCAATTAAATGCAAAGGTGCAAGCGAGCTGGACAAGAATGACGAAAATAATCCCTGGAGCAGAGGAACAAGAGGGACCAAGGACAAACAGAAATCTCCAAACACAGCTAGGTGACTGGTGCGCGACTGGTGGCAGCTGATAAAATCCGTTTGCTCTACTGACCCATGGTTAGCTCAGTTGGTAGAGCGCTCCACCTGTAATAGAGAGGTCCCGGGTTCGACCCCGGACCAGGCGGATTTTTCGGTCGCGCACCAGTCACCTATAGAACTTTCCAGCGGCAGTCTCGAACGAAGCGATTTACAGCGCGCGTCCCTGGTTTTAGAGTGTACGTCAGTGTTGTCCGACTGCGCTGAGCTGTGGAGTTCCTCATCAATGAGCTGTGGCAGCCTGAGTAGGCGCAATTCCGGACGCTGGTGGCGGCTGAGTTGCCGCGTTTTCTTTTTTATTTTGTGTTCTGTGGCAAACATAATTTATAGAGGTCTTTAAAGGGGCCCTGCAAGCACTTTTTTACTGGTTTTTAATTTGCACCAAACCTGAGCGCACTGACCGTAGTAACGTAATGTAACCTTTTTTTTCTCGAATTTCGCTTTATTTTAAAAGTTATAGGCAAATTAAAATTACAAAAACAAGCAAAAAATAACCTCCCTCATGACGTCCTTGGTTGCTTGAGTGGCCGTGAACTAGAGGAGGGATAGTCAGCTCAACGAGCGCTCACGGCTGCCGCACTGCGTGTCGACGGCGCGAGAGGGCGCCACTAAAGCGTGTTCTGGATAGGCTGCATACAGCGGGCAGCCAGAGCTGCTCTCATTGCATTTCTTTGCATTTGCTGCGCGATTAAACACTAATTCGGCATGACACTTCATTGGCCACAAACGACAGCAAACACGGGGTAAAGAACAGTTCAGAATGGGAGCCACTTCACGCTGCCGTACCGCGAAATGGCCAAAACGCAAGACAAAGCTACTCGCTGAAGGCCTTCGGAACGCTCGGAGCCGGTCGGATCTTCCAGTCCGTTAGGGAGGCTCAAGTGAGGGTGGGTGCAACTGCTAGATCGGCGATCACGGGACATGGACGCCATTTAATTGCTAAATTTTGCTGGGAGTCTATGGGGCAAAGAGTCATTTTCTTTCCTAACTCGGGTCATAAAAGCCCATTAAGGTGCTTGAATAATTTACACAAGGTATAAATGATTACTTTTCCATAGCCACCAGTTTTGTTGCGATAGGTTAAGTATTTTTTTAACGCGAAAAATGGTAAATTCCGCCATCTTGGACGTTGCCGCTTGTCTGGCAACTTTGCTTTCTCCGCTCGACGTTTGCAATTCTCGGAGCGAGAAGGAAGCGAGAGAGGCTGCGCCAAGGCGCTCGTTGCTTGCAATGGGAGGCGAGAGGAGGAAAGGCGCATGGAGCAACAGAGTTGCAACAGAGCGGGCGCCTGCTCTCGTGCAGGCAACACTGGCGCATATCCTTTCTCGAATCCTCTCCCTCTGGCGCCGCCATTAAATTGCAAACGCTCTCCAGGTTTTGAGTTGCGCCCACCCTCACTACAGCCTCCCTACAGTCCGTAAACGACCGTTGCGCCGCCGCGTACAACCGGGATCTTTCCGTGTCGGCGCCTGATCCCACTACTCTTTTCTAGTATGCGCCGCCTTTTTTATCGCTTGGTGGCGGCTATGTCGACGAGTCATTTCTTGTTTCCGTACTTTATAAACTGCATTTGTTTCTTTTCTGATCTAAAATACTGAACAAAAACTACTTTTATAAATAATTGAAACGGTTCGCGCCACTTATGTTTTGTATTTAGACTAAAAAGAAGCT